ACAAAATTTTAGTACAAATACTACAAATATGTATATAAATAAAACAGTAGTGTTACAAACACCAATTAATACTAACTATGAGCAATAATACGTAAATATCAATTAAATTATAATACAGGGGTTTCATTAGCAACATACTACAGGCAATTTGCACCAGATGTTTTCACAAAGTTGCCTGTTGTTTTTAGGGATTTATCAACTTTTCCATGTGGGGTGGGTGCTTATTACAGGGTTGGCACTAAATTTAGTGATTGCAGTTGTAGTATAGATTTTAAATAATCTCACCTCTCTGTTCGCACATTGCTCCAGAGAAACTTTGCACACATTGACATGTGAAATCAAAAGGCCCAGTCGGAGTACATGTTCATTTCTCATTTTTTTAGTAAAATACATGTGAGGATGAATGCTACGCATTGGTTTTGATTATCGCTTATTAAAAGGTATTTGCGACCTCTAAAAGTTAGTATATATCACACTTTGATAACATCAGGTAAAACTACAGTATGAGCCAAAGTGGTTTAAACTTTATATGGGACCTTTAAGTTTAATTTTTTAATATCTCAACATCCATACTTACTACACAGTGGGACAGCTTCTTTGGGAATCTTTAAATATAAATTAATTTTATGGATTATACAGTCAGCTAATTTTAATAAATCAATTTAACTAAGATGAATATATAATTTTTTTAAAAAACATAATTACATAAATACAGAATATCACATCATTTTGAGTGATATCATTTTTATCGCCGAGTTGATATCAAATATCAACACGAGTGAGCGAAGCGAATGAGTGTTGATATTTGATATCTACGAGGCGATAAAATGATATCACGAGAAATTATGTGATATTGGGTTTATCCCATGATTACAATCACGTTGTCATGTTCTTATCCAATTTCCAGGACATTGGCAGACAATATAAACTAGAAATTAGAATAACAATTGAAAAAAATATGCACTACTTTCTGTACATGATATAGTTCGTCATAAATACCATTTTTAATCGTTTAAATTAGCAGCGTTCCAATCAAATTATATACACAATCGTAATTCAATACACCAATGAAACTTAAAGAGAATAAATTAACGGACCTATTTTCTCAAAAGAGAATAAATAATCTGACCTAATTTCCAACAATATTGTGGCGCGAAATGGAAATGTGATATCACACGGATATGCGTGAGATAAACGATATCACACGCATATGAGTTTGATAAACGATTTTCTGGAAAATATCACACGGATTTCAATAATATCAGAAATATCAACAGCCGTTATTGTACAAATAACACATTAATCGTGGGATAAATAGATTTATTACATGATCTGTAAAATGCCGCCCTCTGATTGGTCAGTTCTTGAGCTTTACCAATCTGTATTGGGACCTATCACCTTGTATTGGTACGGGATTGATCATCTCCATAACAATACAGAAAATATTGGTAAGGAGGGGACAATCTCAGTAGCAATACAGATTTCATTCATGAAATGAAAGTGTCTTCATCAAATATATGGTTTTAGAGCAAGTCAGAGTATCCAAGGGATTATCTCCTTAGTAAAATGTATTGGCTTAAGATCATATGATAAAAATGTCATAAAATGATTTGAAGTGGAATACGGGATATATTTTGCTCTCAATATTTTGTATTGGGAATCTACTTTGTCTCGTGCCAATACAGAATTTCTCAAGCACAATATACATGATATATCCTGTATTGCGTTTCAAATCATTAAATAACTTTAAAGTATTTGTAATAAAATTTGAAAATTAAAACTTATCAAACACTATAAAATAAATGTTTGCTTTACATTTGTATTAATAAACTCCCTGCTCCAATTTTTTTGCAATTTAAAATGTAAATATCTGCAAATGAGTGAATTTTGCTGGAGTTAGTGGCCAATATCACTTGAATTTTGCAGGATTTCTTGACAAAGAATTGGAATTTTTTAAATTAAAGCTTTGTGATAGTTGTTTGTACAGTCATAGAGATAAATATGCTTCTGCTTGTAATTTGAAGAAGTTTATGTCCTACAAAATTTTAGTACAAATACTACAAATATGTATATAAATAAAACAGTAGTGTTACAAACACCAATTAATACTAACTATGAGCAATAATACGTAAATATCAATTAAATTATAATACAGGGGTTTCATTAGCAACATACTACAGGCAATTTGCACCAGATGTTTTCACAAAGTTGCCTGTTGTTTTTAGGGATTTATCAACTTTTCCATGTTAAATTCATGATTTCCATTAATTTTGCCTGTTGTTCTAATTTATTTAGCCTGTTATTTAGCCTTATAATAACTGTAATTTAGGACCAACTTACTGGATTGTAATATGTCATTGTTGTGTTGGGCACCAATGCCGAATTGTTTACATCCAAGGAACAGTACAACAGCTCACACAGTGACATCTTTTGTTTTGAACCAAGCTCAAAATTGAATGAGAAACAGGCGGAATTCGTAGTGCATGATTCTCCACACTTTCCCAAACTTTTCACATTTATACTGTCTATTGTATATCCATGCAAAGTGTATCCGGGTATTTTCTGGAATAGTGCTGATGATACTGATGATATTTCACAAGTTATAACAATGAAATATACAACAAAGTCTGCCAAGTAAGACATAATCAAATCCTTGTTATACATGTATCTCCCAGCAGTATATGGAATATACATCGCATGCATTTATTCCCGATTTGTTATGTCACTCAATAGGGAGTTTAAGCTTGCACTGTTTTTCACAGCCTAAACGTGAACGCAAGTTATTTAAGCGATGAATTTGTATGGGCGATTGCTCATACGTATAGGTTGGTGTCTCCATTTTATATGCAAGCTTAACTCCCTATTAATTGAATTATGCCTGCTAATGTGATGATGGTTCTAATTAAATGTCAATATTTAAATTGGTTTCATGATGTATGGTCATATTCCAGGATATCCTCATAATTATCCCAACGAACGAAGTTCGGTAGGGATATAGTGAAGCCCTCCGTCCGTCAGTCCGTCAGTCAGTCAGTCAGTCCGTCCGTCCGTCCGTCCGTCCGTCCGGAAGATAACTCAAATACAAGTTGACGGATTTTCTTCATATTTAGTGGAAAGATGTATATTGGTGAATAGTTGTACGCAAAAAAAAAATTTTTCAAGATGGCCGCCGCTTTAAAAATGACGGGACTTTTTCGCAAAAACCATAAATTTTTCATTCTAAACCAAAGTAATTAATATTATTGTTTGAAATTTTGGTAGTATATTCACAAAATCTATCTATTTCACATATATTCCGTGTTTTTCATCCTGACCCCCAGGGGCTGTGTATGGGGGGGGGGTCAGGAAAACAGTAATTTTCGCTAATTTTTAGATCTTTCTGAAGTATAGCTTTATTATACTCAAATGAAAGGCAATTAAGAGTAGATTGCAAATATTGTATCTTTTTTCTGATTTGAGCCTCGTAAAATTCAAAATGGCAGTCTAATGTACGATTTCACAATAATTTTTCGATCCCTTCAAAGTATGGCTATATTATACTCAAATTGAAGGAATTTTGGAGTAGATTACAATTATGGTATTATTCTTCAGATTTGTACCTCAGAAAATTCAAAATGGCTGCTTTGCAGGAATTCGCAATTCTGAAATCTAAATTTTTCAATTTTAACCAAAGTAATGAGTATAATTGATTGGAATTCAGTAATTGATATTTTGTTCGTTGGGATTTGCTACTCCGCGGAGTTGCCATTGTCTAGTTTAGAATAATGGTTTCTCCTTTTGAAATAGGTAATTTCTAGCTACTAATTGACTGCCCAATGTTATGTTATGTAACTGCATTATCTCACTTAACCGTTCATACTCCATTAATGGCATTATGTCATTTAAAAGGAAACATTCCCCATCAATTTGCACACAGTTGAAACCTAACACCTACTCTCATAATAATATTTAAAAGTGTGGGAGAAAAGATGTAAACCAATTTCCATTGTGGAAAATGACATAATTTCTAGTATACATGTAGATACTACACTTAAATTATAAAGCAACAAAAATACTGATAACCATAAATCCTAACACGTTGACATAGAATGTATCTGACAGACAGAGTTTTATTCAAAGTTAGACGTTTTCATATAGTTTCCATTCTTGATGTTTGAAGACTTAGTCCAAATATAGAGTAGGAATGTGCTTCATGGAATACACCCTTGATTAACAATTTAAACGTAAATCTTAGAGTGGGGTTAAGGGACTACTTGTATTTTATTGACACAAATATATTTATCCCACCTAAGGGGGATATACATTTGAATACAAGTTCTGCTTGAAAAGCAATTTTCAAGCTGGCCACTGGTTCTAAAATTTAGGACATTTTTTTATTATAACTCTAAAGGTAGCGGAGCAATTTTGTTGAAACTTTATATGTGACTATACCTTCTATGATAATTTAGTTAGTGAGTGGCCATTTTGAAAAATGGCGGACATATTTTTACTGTTTTTTGCTTTAACTGGAAAAGTAATGGAGCAATCTTTTTAACATTTTTATGTGAATACTTAGAAGCATATTACACTTTCTAATGACATTTGGTTAGCATGAGGCCATTTTGAAAAATATAAGAAATTATCTCGGTAATTGTTTTCGAATATTAGACAGCTTAGCTCATTCCATACTGGCGCGAAAAGCACTATTACACTGACGATTTTTTGAAAATTGCCATATATGGTATATACATGGGCATACATAGTGTTATATATCATTTTAAAGCATATGATATACTCTTTCAGAATGAATAGGTTTTTAAGTCCTATTTTATTTTATAAGTTGTCATGGTTACAAGATTCCACAAAATACATTAATACGGTTTGTACATGATATCACATCATTCGTAGTCAACGTATATACTTTATGACCTTCTTTATCACATCCTTTTTAGCGAATGCATTAGATAAATCATTCAGTTAAACTCTTGAAACAAACAAGTAAATACTTTTTGTGTTTCCAGGAGTTAAGTGATCAAGAGTCGAATCCTGATCATGACATCACACAAGGTGACCTTGAGACAGGCCCCTTAGACACACATGAGGACCTTGAGACAGGTCCCTTGGAGATTCAACAAGTTGAACTAAATAATGATGAAAACGACGTGGATGATGAAACTATGTAAGTTATTTTTATTCAGTAGTTTTTGATAGAAAATTTGGTGCAGATTGGGAGAAAGGATGAGTCTGGGAATGAGTCTGGGTATCGACTTAGAAAATATTGAAAATTGTAATGTCTGAAAAACCAACTCAATCACACATATTAATTAACTTCAATATCTTATCCTTCTTCTGAGATTACAAAAATATCAATTTGTATCACAATTGATGAAGAATATTGGCATCAAAGACAGTGCATATCACTTTGTCAGAATTGAAAAAAAATCAATGACAAATTAGTCTAAATATTAAATAAATTATTTATGCAAAAAGTTTGAAACATATCTTCCAAAACATTGGTTACTTTCTTTGAATAGACATTGAATGGTATTTCTGTATAAGTGAATTGGTGTTTATCTGGGTAATCAAGGGATTATAGTCACTCAAAGTTACTGAGCATCCAGTTTTGAGACTTCAATTGTGTTGGTGATGTTACCCATATTTCAGTCAAATTCATGCTGAGCACAACATTTTGGTTTCAATTTTATAATCTCTATACATGACCCTGGTGATGAAGAGTCAGAATCAGTCAAAAAACCTAAACCGGAAAACTGTGCTCATTGTGAAAACTAAAAGTGAAGCAACTTTTTTCCTGATATTTCTTACATAAAATGGCAGCCATCTTGTTTTTCCCCCTTCAAATTAAACTGGCGGGAAATTCAAAAATTTGAAAAAAATTTTAATCCTTAAATATATAGCAAAAATATGATTTTCTTTTTAATTCTTCATCGGTCTTAAGTTATTTCTTCTTTGTATGTCATACATGTTGCCATTGGTGTTTTTTTCTATGATAATGACTATTTTTTTGTTTGTTAAGATACTTATTCTGACTCTCAGCAGGGGGTTAATTATGCATCAAAATTCGTGAAAAAGTAAATATACTTATTAAATATAACCAGGACAGTAATAAAAACCATATTTCACAAACATTTGACTGAGGGACCAAAAGGGCATATACCCAGACACATCCTTTATGGATTAGGCCAGTTCATAATTGACAGATTGGCCTGTGCATAGCTCATCATGGGCTTTCAAGAAAGCCCATGGTATCAAACATTGATCCTTATGTATTTGTAATATCCAATTTTTATTGAACAAATTTACAATGGTACATTAATTCAGTTATTCACATATAGTTATTATTTGATAATCTAGTTTCCTAATTAAGACATACTTTTTGAGTTAATAATTTCAAATATGATTTGTTTTAAGGTCTGGTGATAATGAAGCAGGTAATTATGATCGAGAAGTGGAGAGAGGGGCAACAGGCGGAGGTGGGACACCAAATCTGACTGCTAAATCAAGAGCTGATAGGTATGTCTCATGGATTACATACATTGATTCCTATTTAATTTTGGGAGTGTTTTAGTTGGCTGTGGTGATTTTGCAAAATTTGCATTAAAATGCATTTCTTCAAGGAATTCAGTTCATAAATTTTCGTTAAAAAACAGAGAAAATTATGTTTTTTTTTTCTATTTTCAAAATTTCTTAAATTTAAAAAACATAATACTCTGGGGACAATGATTCAAATGATTGGAGTTTTACTTGAGTTATTGTAAAAATTATCTCCTATCAATGGTAACGATTATAGAAAAATTGCATAAAGCATTTACAAATTAATTTTACTGAGAATTGACGTCATGTTATGAAGGCTAAGTTAGCACTGTTTTGAAGAAAATGTATATGAAACATGTAAAATTTGTTCCCTGGACTATTTTCACATCACTGGCCTTTATTGCCCATTTGAGTTTGAAGGTATGAGGAAAATAATTCTAGGTCCCTGTTTTAGCCAATTGAAAGTTGGACAACAATTCCTGGGGATCCTAATATGTTTACGTTCAAGTTCTCACAAATATGTGTAATTCAACCTCTTGTTATTTCTTACAGTGGCAGTGATGAAGCAGCTTTGCTGGGTTTGCTTGAGAGACAAGAAAAAGATGGCACTGATGACAAATGGACCCTGCCCTTAAGAACTTCTACCTTCTCAAGTGGTATGTATAAGCTCTTTATTATATTCTTATTGGATAGTTTTCTCTGATCAGAATGAGAAAAATTGAGTTCTAAGTTAAAAATAGTGGATGTTATAATTTACTTTCGTGTTTGACAATCAAAATGCTGTCTTAATTTTGCTGGACATTTGTTATTTGTAATTCAAAAACTGTATATATACATTTTGATGTAGTATCTTGATTAGTAGATACTCGAATGAGTAACTTGATTACTATAGACATGTTTTGGTTAAATCTTGAAAAAGATATTGTTTCAGTTGAATTATTTTTGACTAAGTTGTCTTGATTGTGGCCTAATATTTGAGTATGACCTTGTTTAAGTATGGCCTTGCTTGAGTATAACTTTAGAATAATCTACATTTGTTCCATCCATTTAGAGCTACGTCGCTTTGAAGAGTTGTTCCAAAACCGAATGGCATCTGGTTCACGACGTACAGGTGCCACAAAACATTCCGCCAAACCCAAGCCAAAGCTCCATCTATCCACAGAGGATGTGCTAGAGCGAATTCAGCAACAAATGTCTGAAGTCGTCGCTGCAACAAATGCAGTTGTCGACACTAACAATGAGCCAAGATCTGCGTCAAGTGAGTTTCATTTTTTGTCCTACCAATATTTTCTAAACTACTTCAGAAAATAATGCAAAGAAAAATGATAATCTATTGATCACGGAGAGTAAAATTGTGACTGATCTTTTAGAACTTTGTATGGACCCATCTCTCTGCCTTCCATTTCCATTAAGCCAGTGTTTGACATGTTTCAGCCCCAAAGAAATTCATTCCTTCTCATGATGATCCAAACCAGTTGGAGGTTCCCGATAATGTAGCTGCATCACCAACCCATCTCTCTGCCTTTCATTTCTGTTAAGCCAGTGTTTGACATGTTTCAGCTCCAAAGAAATTCATTCCTTCTCATGATGATCCAAACCAGTTGGAGGTTCCTGATAATGTAGCTGCACCACCAACCCATCTCTCTGCCTTCCATTTCTGTTAAGCCAGTGTTTGACATGTTTCAGCCCCAAAGAAATTCATTCCTTCTCATGATGATCCAAACCAGTTGGAGGTTCCCGATAATGTAGCTGCATCACCAACCCATCTCTCTGCCTTTCATTTCTGTTAAGCCAGTGTTTGACATGTTTCAGCTCCAAAGAAATTCATTCCTTCTCATGATGATCCAAACCAGTTGGAGGTTCCTGATAATGTAGCTGCACCACCAACCCATCTCTCTGCCTTCCATTTCCATTAAGCCAGTGTATTGACCCATCCTTCTGTCTTCCATTTCTGTTAAGCCAGTGTTTGACATGTTTCAGCCCCAAAGAAGTTCATTCCTTCTCATGATGATCCAAACCAGTTGGAGGTTCCTGATAATGTAGCTGCACCACCAACCCATCTCTCTGCCTTCCATTTCCATTAAGCCAGTGTATTGACCCATCCTTCTGTCTTCCATTCCGTTAAGCCAGTGTTTGACATGTTTCAGCTCCAAAGAAATTCATTCCTTCTCATGATGATCCAAACCAGTTGGAGGTTCCCGATAATGTAGCTGCACCACCAACCCCTCCAAGCCGCCAATCAATGGGTAAGACACAAAAAAGCTTTCCAAAATCACAGTTGCTTACACATTTTGATTGGCTAAGGATTAGATTTAGGAGATTTTTTAAGTTCAAGATTGCCATCATTGATAGTTCATACACAGTTAATTTCATCTTGCAATTACCTAAAAGTAAATCAGTCATATTACACGCAACTATTCTTAAAAGTGATGAATTGTGATGGAAGAAAAGTGAAAATTTTCAAAATCCAACTTACTGTTTTCAGGAATAACATAATAGGATTTTATTAGTACTGATGCCCTTTAGGGCCGAACGTACATCCGATATACAATTTTCAATAACAGTAAATATAGCAATAAAGTAAAGAATATAGCTGTTGTCCACCACTTTGAATGTATAAGCTTGTAGGACCATGCAGGGAGTGTTCATGAGTGGCAAATAATGACAAATGATAGGGGGAGCTGGTCCTTTTTTGAATATCAGAGGAATGGCTTCTCACATTCCCAATTTTCTTTCTCTCTTCTACTTCCTAAATTATCTGATACGGAAGAGTTGAACTCTTTTTTTTATAGATGGAGCTAGAAGAGATGATGTTAGAACTGCTCATGACGTATCAGATTCACTGGAACAGTTCCCGATCGACTCTGATTTCATGCCCTTATTAGGTAAATCTTGGAATATAATATTTTAAATTTTAAAGGTATTATTTTCATTAATTACGTTATTAGTAAATTATGATAAATTGATAAATTCCCCCCTTACCATTTAAGAGTTAATTTATATTTATTTGGATATTAGAAAAGAGTAATGCAATAGTCTCAAGTCTTTTGAAAACTTCTTCAATTATCAACAAATTAGGCAATTCCATAATACCGCTGAAATATTAGAAAAAATTCTGAATCCCTTTGATACAGGGTGTTCAAAAAAAAACGCAACCCAAAGAAATCGCTATATCTTGGGAAATACTAATGCAATTATGTTCATTTTTTCAGGAAAGAAAGAAGAGACTGTGTATGTATACCTCTTGTAGTTGGTAAGTTATAAAACTTGATGCCTTAGACACCTGCTCAAAAGACATTAGTATTGGAAAGATACGGAAAACGCAGTCAGGGGTGACTGCCACAGCAATAAAACCGAATAACTTTCTAATCATAGTGTTCTAGCTCTTCAAATTTGGCACAAATCATCTTCATTCAAAGTATGGTAAATCTGTAGAGTGAAATCAAAATCGCTCCAGGGACTTTACAGATATGGTCGAAATGCGTTCAAAACGCAGTCAAACGCCCTGGTTCAGGCAGACTTAAGAAGGTATTTTGACCATGACTGTAAAGTCCCTGGAGTGATTTTGATGAAACTCCACAAATTCACCACACATTGAATGAGGATAATTTGTGTCAAATCTGAAGTGCCAAAACACTATGGTTAGAAAGTTATTCAGTTTTATTGCTGTGGCAGTCACCTTTGACTGCATTTTTTGTATCTTTCTAATACTAATGTCTTTTGAGCAGGCGTCCAAGGCTTCATGTTTTACAACTAAATAACTACAGGAGCTCTACATGCACAGTCTCTTCTTTCTTTCCTGAAAAAATCAGTGCAATTGGATAAGTTTTTTCCAAGATATAGCGATTTCTTTGGGTTGCGTTTTTTTTTAACACCCTGTATAACCTGACCCAATATTGGTGTTGTTTATTATGCATATAATTATTTTGCCCATAACCATAGGTGGCGCTGTGATGCCTGGAGGTAGGGATGCGTCAGCAGACGTCTCCTTGGAACAGTTCCCAATAGGTGACACCTCTGCAGCAGAGGAGGATCAATGTATCCCATCATCCAACACTCAGAGACTTGTTGCCAGAATCAGGTACCTCTCTTGTAGATTTTTCTCAAAAGTAGAAGGAGTTATCATTTAAGATCGAGAGATTTGGCAAATTTTTATTTTTGACCAATCCCACGACACCTCAAACCCATGACAACTTGTATCCATGACATTTCAGACCCATGACAACTCTGACCCACGTCAATTAAAACCTATGGCAACTTGTATCCATGACAATTCAGAACCCTGACAACTCTGACCCAAGACACCTCAAACCCATGAAAACTTGTATCCATGACATTTCAGGCCCATGACAACTCTGACCCAAGACACATCAAACCCATGAAAACTTCTATCCATGACAACTAAAACCCAAGACAAGGTGGACCATTTTTTGACAGCTTGATATTACCTTTCAGTAAGCTTAGTGCTGTGGGGGCTAATGGGCCAACAGATGCCGAAACTGCGCTAGAGATGAGATTCAGTCACCTTGCCAACCAACTAGCCACACAACATAAGAAAGACGACAGCCAATCAGCATCTAAGAGTGATGACAGGAAGAAAACAAAAACAAAGTCTAGTCACCAAGACAACAGGTATTTTGACTGTTGAATTGCGGGCTACACAGACAAATTACATCGGTCCCCGTACGAGCTCGTACGAGGCTCGAGAATTACTAGTCATTACGGGCAAAAAGGAGCAGCATCCTCGTACAGGCTCGTACGAAGCTCGTTTTCGAGGCCCGTGCAAGCTCATACGATGCTCGTAATTGTTGTTTCCGAGGCCCGTACAAGCATGTACGAGGCTCGCAATTTCAAGGCCCGTACGAGCTCGTACGAGGCCCGTTATCGAACTCCGAACAAAAATTTAATTGCTATCATGCTACATGCACAAATTTCGTATTTGGCCAGACCATGTTTATTCATTTTAGAATAATGTTAAATGTTTTTATTCACACATTCGGTAACAATAACATTCATTTACATCACATTTCAACTCATCCTAGTAAAGCACGCAAATGGTTTTATATGCATTTACTTAACTTGTAGAGAAATATGGTGTCTCCTATTTGTAACCCTCCTGTTTATTTTGTTTCCTAGCTTTTATACTGTTTATCATGTTTATCATGTGAATTGTCATTTTTCATATATGCTGTATTTTATTTCATCGATCAAAAAGAAAACATCAAAATAAACGAGCAATTACGAGCCTCGTTACGAGCCCCGTATGGGCAAGTACAGTGCTTGAAAATTACGAGCCCTTACGGTCCTTGTTACGGGCATTGCACAGGCAAGTACAAGGCTCGAAAATTATGAGCTATTATGGGCCTCGTAACAGGCACCGTACGAGCAAGTACGGGGATCGAAAATTACGATTTATTACGGGGCTCGTTACGGGCACCGTACGGTCAAGTACGGGAGCCGAGAATTACGAGCTATTACAGGCCTTGAAATCACAAGCTCTTACGAGGCTCGAAAATTACAAGCAATTACGAGACTTGTAACGAGTCCCGTACGAGGTTGTACAGGGTCCGTTGACACAACGAGCTCTGTACGGGCGTGTACGGGGTCCAATGTAATTTGCCTAGGTGTACAGCAAATTAATACTTTATGCTGTTCTACATAGCCTAAACATATTTATATTTTTCTATGGAAATAAATCATTGATAAAAAAAAAATGTATAGAAAAATACTTAGAGAGAATGGAGAGTGGCACAAATAAGGCCATTCTATATATCACTGAGAGGTACATGGTTTTATAAATATAAGACTATTTTTCAAAGTGTGCACTTTCTCTATGTTTCAGGTCAAGAACACCTAGTCCTTGAGCCCAAGAACAATAACCATCTTTACATGGTACAAGTAACAACAGCTGAATGCAATATGTGATAACAGCTGTATACAGTAAAGCTATAACAGCTGTATACAATAACGTGATAACAGCTGTATACAATAAGAGTGACAACAGATGAAGCAATACAAGTGACAGAGAACTGTATACAATACAAGAGTATTGCACTTATGTACAATATATGATAACAGCTGTATACAATAAAAGTGACAACAGCTGTATATAAGTAACAACAGCTGTTTACATCGGACAACAGTTATTGTATTATACAAGTGTTAAAAGATGTATACAACACGTCAAGTTTAAATAACAGCATACAATACAAGTGACAATATCTGTTAACAATACATGTGACAACAGATGTATACAATACATGTGACAATAGGTGTATACAATACATGTGAAAGCCACTGTATACAATACATTTGTCAACAATTTGTACACAATTACAAAAGACAACAGGTCAGTTGACAGGAATAGTGCATTAGATGTGATAAGGTAATCGCATCAAATGTGCAGAAATAAAAATTGGATTTATTTGTTGTATTGCTTGTCATTGGCTAAGAACAGCTTAAGAAGTGTGGCTATTTAAGCATTACAGTGACTATAAATAGTCTCAAATATTTGCTATAATATTTGTAGCATTGATTTTATAACTATGATAGCCTTTATTATTTGGTTAAGAATAGCCTCAGATGTGTGGCTAAACATGCAATAGTTTTTGTTGAATAACCCAATTGGTGTATGGCTATGGGTGGTTTCAAATTTGTGGCTAAGAATAAGCCTAAAATGTGTGGCAAAAACTATATGTGGAAATTGAAGCGAAGAGCCTCATTTTTCAAATTAAACAAAGTTGTTTTAAAGTGTGCGCCAAAGTTTAAAACTGCGCAGGCGCACCGCTCTCGCTAAACTATATAAAGAGATTGCCCGGTACACGATTCAGAGGTAAGCCAGGAAGGCGAACGATCTTCGTCTCGTGATGATTTCCCATATAATCTTAACCAGGGAAGTTTCAACATTGAAATTGAAAATTACTATTAGATATACTTTGTAGATGTTATTTATGAAGCTATTTAGTGTTTGCATCAATCAAATGGCTCATTTTGAACATATAAAACGTATTTGTGTTTTGTTTCCCAGGGAATTGTATTGTATGTAGTACACACATAAATAGTGTACATTATACTTGAATAGCCTGGTTTACATAATATTGAAGGGCATGCTGATTACATGCACACGAGTACATGAATGAAGGCCTAATATTGATATACGTAGCTTGCATACCTAAATAAAAAATAAACTCTTCTAATCCCCTAATGTAAACACGGCGGTATACGTAGCCCGATTTATCGGGGACTTTAACTTTACCAACGCAATTTGCTTTTAGGTAGAGTATCCGACTCTCCCTTTTTGTAAAGGGTCAGGAAACCATGATAAACTATATCTTCTGACATATTTATCTGTAAATTTTTTTGAGAATTTCAATCTCACTTCACACTTTAAACATATCCAAAACTAGGAAGTTTAGAAAAGTAGATGTCATTTGAACAAAGTTGTACTATATCAAAATAATTAAAAATTACCATTTTTCTCTCGCTATTTTGGATATTTCTGAATTGTGAGTGTAGATGGATGTAGATGGAGACTTGATGGATTGAATTTCAGTGCCACCTATCCTCACGTTAAGGAACAATAAGGTAGGAAAGTGGGATGAAATGAGGGCCTATCTGGGCATGCATGTAATATGCAACTTTACAGTAAAAGCTCCAAGTTTTTGTTGATATGTTCCCTGCCTAATACCTCAAATCATAGTAAATAGATTGACTAAAAGATGGCAGGAGTGACCATTCTAGTTAGACATGCCATCTTTTATTCGACCAAGTGGACAATTTAATAGAGTTGTTGTCAGATTGTGACAAGAATTGAACACAATTTAGCAGAAAGTAACTATGGAATTATGTTCACAAAATAATTGTGTACTTAAAAGTTTTTGTTAATAAAATGTACAAAAAAACCACAACTCTTCATTCTGTGAATTAAAACCAGATTGGGGTGTCAAAAACATTTTATGTTATATTTCCAAAATTAAATAGGCCATATCTGGGTTACCATTCTAAAGTATCACTTTAAGGGCATATAACAGGTCAAAGTGACAGCTAAGAGTCAAGGTCACCAGGAAGGTCAAATGTTAAAATTCCATTATCGTGGTTATATAAACATAAGATTGATCTGTCAATTAATATGTTTTATTGTCTATTTACTGACAATCATATATTTATTTTACTACGACTGTAGCACTAAAATATTCCATCATATTTTTTTATTGTGACCTGTGACCTGCCTATGGGAGCATTGATCATAAATCAAGACCCATATTTTTAAAACAATGTATTTTATATGGCACTAGGCTGATACACTATTAGGTGAACTGATCATCCATTTTGGATTTGGCTTTTATCCCTCGGCCATATCCTATCTTGAGTTATCTCATGAAGATATCATTGTTATCCCCCATAAAGCTCATTTATCTCATTCGAACATTGAATCGATCAGTCTGGTTCTGAATCACTGTCCCCTGCTAGTACAACGGGCACATGTTTTGATGATGTCATACCGCTACTTGTTGACTGTTGCGACATCCCAAAGAATAAAGACTTGAACTGAAATTAAAAATGGCATAAATAAGTTAAAATCACTATGTGATATGCAGAAATTGCTAGCATGACATGACATCACATTAAGATGACGTCCTAGATGCAACTTACATTTACATGGTAATAGTTCAATGACATGACATCGCAACAATTCAATGAATACATTTATGGATTAAAATAAAGGCCAGTTAAACATTTATAATAGGCCTACAAATCAATTGTTAAACTTACTCGTTTACTTGGCGGAGTTCCTGGAAGGACATCCTCATCATCAGTACCTATAGCGCCACCTATAGTCTGCAAAGGGATCTCAGGACTACTTGAAGACATATCTTGCTCCCTGGAGGCATCTCTGTGCTCCCTTGTGGGTGTCCTATGTGGCTCTCCCATGGCTCCCACATCCAAGTCATCCAGATCATCATTCATTAGTTCTTCCAATGCGACATCCATTTGTTTGGATGCATCAGACCTGGTTCTGTGATAAAAAACAGTAAAAAACACTAATATATGGAGGTTATTTACTTGGAAGGACTGAATAAGGGCTTAATACCATGGGACAATATTATACAAATATTTCATACTATTGAGGTGAATACCTTTTCTTTTTTCAATGATTCTAGCAAGGTGTATTCCCTGAAGCCTGAAGGGCCAGGGGATACACATTGCAGAATCATTGAAAGTGCAACAGGTATTCACCGAAAATAGTATGAAATATTTTATTTGTTTTATTATTCACTTTTGTACTCACCACTCTCTTTTTGGGAATATCTTTAAAAACATGAATGATTAGATTTTTTTCTTTTCAGATTTACACTGGACAAAACGCCACAGCTGTGAATACGCCCACTGAATACACATTTTTCTGATGTCACAGGCTAGGCATGGCCATTGAATATGTTTTCTTATTTTTATGTCAGATGTAATGTATAGACCAATGAGAGAGTGTGGAATATGACAGGGATATAAAAATATATTATGATATTTCCTGAGGCTGAACACAGGGATGACCAGGTGAATATGATTTTTGAGGAATGATTTTTGATATCAGTTATATTCCCTAGTGTTATTCATCACAAATTAATCATATCATGGAATACAGCCCCCAGGATCAGAAGAGTTTCACTAACCCTACTATCACACCAAACTAGTTCTCACTACGTTCTCGAAAACGGGCTTCAACTGTGTACGAACGGACTGGACGTACTAAGAACCGTTTGGGATCTATTTAGAAACTTCATCGAACGTACTCGAACGGGTAGGTCCTCTAGAACTTAGACAACGCTCAAAATGTACTCGGGGTCGTCACGTTCTACAATTAGAACGAGTGACAACGTACTAACGACGAGCTGGACGTACTACGAACGGAACCGTCGTACTTCAATCTTACTAGGGACGTTTTAACAACGAGTTGAACTGTCCGAGGACGTGTTGAGAACGAGGTAGAACTAATTGCAAACGGGTTTAAACTGATTAAGAACGTATTTAACACTGCTTAAGAACGAGTTAGCAAAAATATAGCTATCACACCAAACAAGTTGCCACTGCGTTCTTCAAAACTGGTTTGAAACTGTGTGCGAATGGAATGAACGTAGCTGCAACTTTCTAAGGTCTATTTACGAACTTTATGAACGTTCTCAGACGGGAATTTGATTTTAGAATTTTGAATCGATTCAAAGTTCGATGGCGACCATGCCGTTCTGTAATCAGGTCATGTTGACCTTCTAGACTAAGGGACGCGTTCTACGACGTTGCACACCGACGTGGTGCGACCTGAACGAACTGCGAACGAGATGGACGTATTGAAGACTGTTTAAGGACGAAGAAGCTAATTATTTCAGACATATTTCCCGACCACAGCCAGATTGAGCCCGTTTTACGACGTTTTCGTAGGACTGGCAAGAACGGGTAAGAACTAGTTTGGTGTGATAGGGGGGTAAAGGAGAATAGTTTGGCTTGCTAAGCGACATGAAGGAGCCATTCTTTTTACTTCCATGATATAAAATAAGCAAGAAATACAACAGCTTACACGTGGTTCTCCAACACAACACTGATTATGTCATGTGTTTTTAAGACATACCTTTTTTGCTGATTTGTTTTGCCTTCTCTTGGTGGTTTAGCTGTTGACCTTGGAACTGAATCTTGTCTGCTTACATCACCCTGGTTACGTACTTTGTCTCTCTTATTTATACTTAGGTTATCATTTACACTTCTCTTACTGGCAATACTTGTACTCTTTGTTATATTTGCAGTAGGGTTAGCGTGTTTTCTGAAAATGTAAAGGTGTGCAAAATATGTCAAGTACTGTATGTATTTTTGATGTACACATAGAACTCATAAATAGCTTTCAAATGTACTCAAACAAGTTGACATTCAAGATAAGGAGTAAATCTTAGGTCATTTCTTAGATCATTTAATATCCTTCTCAGTCATCAAGTTCTTATTGGTTCATATGTTTATATGCAAACCAGTCATTTCTGGCCTGCACCTGTACTGGTTCTCTTTGGTAGGAAATTTCCCTCAACTCACTGATGGATTATGAGCAATACACAACATAGAAAGTGATAAACAATGTATGGAACTTGCGATAATATAGGACGTTTGGTTTAATATGATAAACCTTCAGATTTCTCATTGGAATTTCCTGTACCTGAACCAGTTAACAGTTTTAAATACTAACACCAAGGAATACATTAAACTCCCTTATTGCTACTGAAAATGAGTGACATTGAAGATATTGAACCAGATGCTGGCACAAATCTGACAGATAGTGCAGAACAACAAACAGGGAATGGCATCATTACAAGAGATGGCAGAAACACATACAGATGTAAAATACTCTCAAGTTTACTTATCCTTGTCATCATGATTATAGTTATCGTCATAGTTATCGTAGCATCTGTACGAAAGTATGGGCAAAATGGTAAATATAATACTTTCTACAATTTCACTATCTTAAGATTTTAAAAACAATGAATTGCAGTAACAATTTTCTGATCCTAGAATAGTCTGTGGTCATATATCAAACATATTTGAGAAATTCAGAAAAAACATGGCCTCCACGGTTTTCATTGTGCAGTGTAATTTAATCATTGGTATTCCATGTACAACTGCAAGTGTTTCATGAAAGAAAACATGGCAAGCCAAGAATTATTGGAAATTACTCAGGTTTTTCTGAAATTTCATAAAAGATTTCTTTCCAAGTTTAGTCTACAAGGACTGCACAATCTTGATTCATTTGCATGTCTTAACATATTTCATTGTAAATTGAAGTAATTGTAAATGTGCTAAGTCATGCCAAGTGTTTTCATATCCAGAGTGTTTCAAAATGATTGTTCCCCCATCAACCATCAGAGCAATCCTAGATAGCATTACCCATCAAAAGCATGTTCAATTCTGGACTTACTGAAACAAGGCACAGGGTGAACAATATCTACCTAGAACATAGTAATGTGGACTTGATGACCCTGAAAGCAAGATGGCTGTCGAAAAGATAATCAGTTCAAGATCTTCTTACCATGTAACATGTGAAAACATTTGAAGTAAATCCATTGAGTGGTTATCCTGAAATCGCGATGACAAGATTTATCTAAGACACGATGGCTTGTGAAAATTTAATCAGCTCTAGAACTCTTACCATGTAACATGTGTGAAAATTTGGAGTAAATCTGTCAAGTGGTTTTCCTGGAATCGCGATGACAAGATTTATCTAAAAACTTCCAAGATGGCCACCAGAATGCAAGATGGCCACCAAAAAGTTAATCAGCTCTTGAACTTATTACCATGTAACATGTGTGAAAATTTGGAGGGAATCCATTAAAGGTAGTTGCTCTAACATCTCATCACTGAACATATTCGTCAATAACCATAATCAATCAAGAGACTCGTCTTGATCACTTGTGAAAAGTTTTGAATGAACCATCGGCTATGTGGCTTCTATTCAAGAAGTCAATCCCTTGGCTTTCTGGACAGACCTTTTTCCACATTATTATGATGGAATAGACCATTCACGTTTATTTAAATAATTAATCAAAATATTTTCAATATATATTTTCAAAATATATTGAACACAGGCTGGTATCGAAATATTTGTCCGCTGTGACGGAGCATGCTATTTTTCATAAAAACACTAAGAATACTTCACGATTTATTTTTTAACTAATATGTTTCGTTATACCATACAAAATTACTTACTCCATGCAATGGATATATCATTTGCGGGTAACTTTCACTTCTGTTTGAAGTCCAATTACGCTGGGAAGAAAAGCTATTGAAAATGGCGTCGGAGTATCATACTTCAAAATGTACCATTTCTTGTTTAACTTTCTAATGGCATGATATAGTGACACGATAATATTTACACATGGTTTCAGCATAACTATGAAGGTATAAATGAGATGTTGATGTATTTGGTCCTTTTAATTCTTTTACAAAAAATATTGTTTAATTTTTTTGTCCGCTATGACGGAGCAGTTGCAAATGTGAACTGTGAAAATGCTCCGTCACAGCGGACAAAAAATATTAATATTATTTTTTATAAAAAAATTTAAAAGACCCAATGCATTAGTATCTCATTTAATACATTCAGAGTTATGCTGAAAACATATGTTAATATTATCGTGTCACTATATCATGCAATTAAAAAGTTAAAAAAGAACTGGTACATTTTAGAGTTTGATACTCTGGCGCCGTTTTCAATAGATTTTACTCATAGCGTTATTGGACTTCAAACAGAAGTGGAGGTTACACGCAAATGATATATCCATTGCATGGAGTAAGTAATTATCTTTGATATAACGAAACATATGAGTTAAAAAATAAATCGTGAAGCATTCTTAGTGTTTTTATGAAAAATAGCATGCTCCGTCACAGCGGACAAATCTTTCGATACCAGCCTGTGTTGAAGTAATAAAACGGTTTACGACATCAATGAGGTCGGAGGTCAGTCTTTCGTGAATATCTGGGTGCTATGCATTTTTTTGAATTTCTCAAAATAACTACATTTAGCCCATGGGTCGGCTAAAAGAGCTGGGTATTTCTAGGTCCCAAGTCATAAGAAGGCATTGAGAACAATGGCAAATGGTTGAATATACAAGGGTAGTTCAAAAAGTCTTGCACGATAGCTTCTCAAGAGAAGAGATTTTATTATTTTTATGTGAAATTTCATACAGATATAGTATTACCCTTTTTACAAGCTTATTTGAAATTTCAGGACCATAAGCAATATACTTCCTGAGATACATTGACTTAACAATTTGAACCAATGGGCCAATGGTACATATGGCGTCATTAGATTGAATTGATTTTGTGAATGCCTTGATAGACTTGGTATTGTGTTTTGAAAAGTTAATGATTAATATGTACTTATGTTATCAAGAAAAGCTACTTAAAATTAGTCTTACAGATCTACAAAATAGCTACTTCAGCAGGTTAATCTATCATGACAGGAAGATGAAAAAACAATAGATATCATACTTAGTAGAATATATGCATCTAGTGATAGAATGTATATGTCTATGATAGATCATTATGTGTTATCATTTTTAAATAGATGCAAGAAATCTAGAAATCATGTCAGATTTCACGTCTTTTCTCCAGTTCTGGTAATGTTAACTAGAGCTAGAGCTACTGTGTTATGACAAAGTTTCGATTTTTTTATTTGAAAAAGAGGACTGACAGAGATCTGATCAAATAAAGAAACTATTGAAGATTTTTCCAAATTCAATTCTTTTGACAGTCAAAACTGAAAAAACAAATGATAACTCAGAACTGTTTAAAATAGACATGATACCGAATGATTAAGTATTTTAAAATTATGACAATTTTTCCAAAAACTACTCTCATCTCAATCCTTTCTACTCCCTATAATGTTAAATCCCTTAATGTTTTTCTTCAGAGATTCCCCCTTTACCCACTCCCGTTGCAAGTTCACCATTTACACCAAGTACACCAAGTACACTGAATACAACAAAAGATGTTGATATGGTTGATGTTACCACTGATAACATAAGGAAGAAAGGAACAAACCATTTTATGTGCAAGAAGTTTCCCCATGCATTGCCAACATTATGCAACAATACAAACGAACATTGAAACCATTTTACTAACTCAGATGTCATAATAAACTGCTATAAAAGGAGTAAGCATAATATTAAATGATGGTAAAACATTTAGCCATCTGGTTGGCTCCTGTAATGTAAATATATTCTGTATTTTTACACCATTGGATGTAAAATACTTACTATGCTCTGAGATCAAATTTCAGTTTTTGGTATGTCAAAAAGAATTTCCTAGTGAAAAATATCCCAAATAGCATTGAATGAAAACATAATTCAAAGATTTCTCATAAAATACAGAAAATATTTACACAAATAAGTATGTACTATGTTTAATAGAACTTGGGTAGACCTTAAAACAGCATTTTGAGCCAATAGTCTACATGAATCTACATTGTACTTGTTGAGACTCAATCAACTTAAGTTTTTCTGGGAAAATGAGAATTTCAGCTAGGATGTATTGACTTAACATGGGGATAAATTCAACTTAAAACCTGCATATTGTCATGTACATACATTTTATGCCATCATGGGGATAGCCACAAAATCCTTATCAGTGTTGTTTATTTTATATAATAGGATTTTATCATCTCAGAAGAACTCAAGTCAATCAAATCTCAACAAGTAGGATTTTCAAAAGAATGGGGGCTCTTAAACGAACTCAGGCCTTTTGATAATTTTGGTTAGCTCTATTAATCATTGACTGTTGAGGTACTGAGGTTAGTCTTACTGTGGGTGACTCATATACAAATATCATATTCGCTATAATAAGCACCCAGGGCGCTTTTGAAATTGAAATTCCCATTGTAACCCATTACAAAGAGCGCCCATATATGAGAGAAGTCAAAAATCCCTAGGAATTTCATGTATGGGAATTTTTCTTGCCAAAAATGCCTTATTTGCAAGGAAAGCAACAGCATATTTTTACAATAATGATATGTATCGTTATTGGAGAGAATACGGTAAAGATCGCTAAAATAAAGCAAGAATCTAACTATATTGACAGTGATTCTCCCCAGCAGAGCAACTCGAGGTGAAGGACTTGTTTTCTGCAATTATCTTCAATATTTCCGCTATAGACTGTTAGATATCGATCGAAAGTTATACCTTGTTTTTTTAATTTGATGACAGATAATGATTTTTCACGTAAAAGTCGAGAAATCTTAAAAAGAAATAAGAGAGTTCACGAATTCGACCTGACCTTGACGATTGAAAAGTTAGTTAAAGGTCGAAACAAATTTCTGAAACATGATCATTTCCTTCATTCATTATGGACTATTTTGAGATAATATTAGCTTAGTATGATGTGGGAAGCATCCACTGATAGATATTTATCGGGAGGATGCATCGATTTACAAAATGCGTCATGATTTCTGCATTTTAGTGTAAATACTCTTTTATCGCCCACTATATTTCTTGGGAAATTTGTTTGTTTTCTGATATATTCGTTAATGCTTGGTCATTCCTCGATATTTCTTGAACTCTGTGAAGCAGGGTGGACGCTTATTAGGGGTGGGCCCTAAATACGGCGATTACGGTATTTAAAGAGCATTCACAAACCTTTGGTTATATTTTTCAAAATCATGTGCAGAAATGCTTGGATATATGATTTCAAGTATTTACTGTTATACTGCAATTGTACTTTGTCATCTAGGTCTAATGTAGATATCATGACTTATTTGACTTATAATAATGACTTGTTTTATTTCTTCATCATTTTATTTTCATTTTACATATTTATGCTACATACCTGTTATGAACCCATGACACATAAATGAATGCAAAGCACAGTAAGGGGTTGTCTCAAACTGTTAACATATGTAGGAAAAAAACTATGGTTTAACATGCCCTCCTTTTACTATTATTCTCTTCAAATTTTAAAAATTGTTGAATTCTATTTCACTTGAATTTAAAAAATCAACATTCTTTACAAATAAAATCATTATACTTGTCTCCTTCAACCAAACTTTGTATTTTTTTCACATATGTTGGGATTTGGATACAACCCCTAAATACAACACAATGAAATTTCTTACTGTTGTGTTGACCTCTGACTGGAGCCTGAGTCATCTGCTGCTAGTGTCGCTAAAACAAAGTTCCCTTCATACCCCCTCCCCTCATCTAGACTGAACACTACTGGCCTGAAATTATAAAATATGACTGAAATAACTTAAATAGCACAACAGGCCTGAGATTGATAGGGCTGACATTATACATTAGGAAAATTACATGACAAGCCTGGAATAGGAAATAACATGAAAGGCCTGGAACATTACCAATAATATGATACTGCCTTAAATCATGAAAGGTAATTACATGATAGGCCTGGATCTATACGACATAATATGATAGGCCTGGAACAATACGATAAGCCTAGAACGTTCCGATAGGAAATAATACAATATGCCTAGAACAATCTGACAGAAACAATATAATAGGCCTGGAAAAATAAGATACTAGTGGTCATATTGACCTTATCATTCAACCTTGAATTATATTCAGCCGAATGATGCTTGAAAAAGAAAATTAATTATTGTAAAAATCTAGATCAATTAAAGATTTTATACAATGCAGGGTTTTCATTAGCAGCAGGCAGCAGGTGATTTTCACCAGTTGTGTTCTGTTGTATGTATGTATGTTTGTATGTGTATTTTATTTGCATAATATAAGACAGTTACATTACAAGCAGTAATATATTTACGAAAAAAGGATTAAAAAGCTATATAGTACCATTTACAAGAATGATATGATTATACCTCATCAAGTATAGTATCTACATGTAATTAGCCTAGTATAGTTACAGGAATCAAGGAATTGAGCTTATTAGTACATTTGAGTTACTACTCCTGAGATAAAAACGAACATATCAATGTCATCTATTGACATATGAGTCCTGAGTTGTTTCCATGTTAAATTGAAATGATTTCCATCAATTTTACCTGTTTTCTTTCATTTATTTAGCCTGTAGTGAGAAATTCTAGTGAAACCCCTGTAATACATGTATTTATATTGCTATTGTACTTTATGCATATTTATTATCCTGTGCAGAAGAGAAGATCTTAATCTTTAGATTCAAATATCAAATAGTTTAGCCAAATTGACCATGACAATTTGATAAATAAATATAATTCATTGTACGAATCTTGATCTATTATATTTTTCATGTAATATGAGTCATTAAATGTTATACATACATGCTTGCTATTGTATTTTATAAATATTTAAAATCAAATATCAATTATGTTAAGACATATTGACCATAAATGACCTAATGAATTACCATTATTATGGATAACACTATGGGTAATACACATAACTTTTTTCCTAAGGGATGTTTAGCCAAATTGACCATGACAATTTGATAAATAAATATAATTCATTGTACGAATCTTGATCTATTATATTTTTCATGTAATATGAGTCATTAAATGTTATACATACATGCTTGCTATTGTATTTTATAAATATTTGAAATCAAATATCAATTATGTTAAGACAAATTGACCATGACAATACGATCTAATATAATTTGAATTGTTGTAAGAATCTTGATCTATTATAGTTTTTATGTAATATGTGTCTTAAATATTATAATACATGCTTGCTATTGTAGTTTATAAATATTTGAAATCAAATATCAATTATGTTAAGACAAATTGACCATGACAATACGATCTAATATAATTTGAATTGTAAGAATCTTGATCTATTATAGTTTTTATGTAATATGTGTCTTAAATATTATAATACATGCTTGCTATTGTAGTTTATAAATATTTGAAATCAAATATCAATTATGTTAAGACAAATTGACCATGACAATACGATCTAATATAATTTGAATTGTAAGAATCTTGATCTATTATAGTTTTTATGTAATATGTGTCTTAAATATTATAATACATGCTTGCTATTGTATTTTATAAATATTTGAAATCAAATATCAATTATGTTAAGACAAATTGACCATGACAATACGATCTAATATAATTTGAATTGTTGTAAGAATCTTGATCTATTATAGTTTTTATGTAATATGTGTCTTATATATTATAATACATGCTTGCTATTGTAGTTTATAAATATTTGAAATCAAATATCAATTATGTTAAGACAAATTGACCATGACAATACGATCTAATATAATTCATTGTTGTAAGAATCTAGATATGTAATATGTGTCATTAAATGTTATACATATTATGCTTGCTATTGTATTTTATAAATATTTGAATTCAAATATCAATTATGTTGAGACAAATTGACCATGACAATATGATCTAATATAATTTGAATTGTTGTAAGAATCTTGATCTATTATAGTTTTTATGTAATATGTGTCTTAAATATTATAATACATGCTTGCTATTGTAGTTTATAAATATTTGAAATCAAATATCAATTATGTCAAGACAAATTGACCATGACAATACGATCTAATATAATTCATTGTTGTAAGAATCTAGATATGTAATATGTGTCATTAAATGTTATACATATTATGGCCTAGTCACATAGCCCGGCCGATGTCCGGCATCGGTAGAGCTCGGTGGATTTTTTTGGTGCCACCGAGCTCTCCTCATCGGAAGCAGAACTCGGTGACGTGAACGGACTCCGTCTGGACATCTTCAGGCGACCGACCGAACACCGGCCGGTGACCGTACGGAGTCTGTCTCAAAATGGTAGTTTTTTTCTGCCGATGTGGCAGCAACTACCGGCCGGAGGTCGGCCGGACATCGGAAGGAATACGGCCGGTACCCGAGCAGGTAACAGGACACCGTGCGATCGCCGGCCGGGTTGTTAACGGGCTTTGAACAGTGACCGGCCGATGCTCTGTCCCACATCGGCCGGAGCTCGGTCGGAGCTCGGCCGCTGTCCGTTAAAAAACCTCGTCCTCTGGTTGTCTCAGATGCACGGGACACCGGCCGATACTCGGCCGTGTACTGGCCAACGTGTTTTCCGATGTGGTTACGATGGGGCTGCGATGACATGATGAGGGAGCTCGGTGAGAGCCCGGTGAAATTTAACTCCGAAGTTAAAATTTCACCGAGCTACCACCGATGCGGTTTTAAGCAACAAACGCCACGGATGTCCGGCCGGTGTCCGGCCGGTGTTCGGCCGAGTTCGGTGAAAATTGCATCGCTGGCTCATCGTAACCTCATCGGCCGGGCTATGTGACTAGGCCATTATGCTTGCTATTGTATTTTATAAATATTTGAATTCAAATATCAATTATGTTGAGACAAATTGACCATGACAATCTGATCTAATATAATTTGAATTGTTGTAAGAATCTTGATCTATTATAGTTTTTATGTAATATGTGTCTTAAATATTATAATACATGCTTGCTATTGTATTTTATAAATATTTGAATTCAAATATCAATTATGTTGAGACAAATTGACCATGACAATATGATCTAATATAATTTGAATTGTTGTAAGAATCTTGATCTATTATAGTTTTTAAGTAATATGTGTCTTAAATATTATAATACATGCTTGCTATTGTAGTTTTCACATTTAGAGAATATCTTAAATCTCTAGATAATATCAATTATGATGAGCCAAATTAACCTTGCCAATATAATAAATAATTATTGTAAGAATCTAGATTGATTGTATTTTGTGTGCAATATAGGTATACTTAAATGTTAAATATTTTATGGTTGTTACTGTTCTTTATGCATATTTTCACTCTAGTATGGATTATATTAGGAGATTTATAGGAATTGAAAAGATAGTCAAGAGTTCTTACTTGCCAGCTGTTTCAAAATGCACAGAGAGTGGAAGACTGCATCCCTCAGTGAACCCAAGTATAGCCTGAAATAGAATTAAACACATATAGTGGTACTTTATTAAAATACTCCTTTCTGATTGGTCATTGAGAGGTAGACAATTTTGCTTGAACAGTGCATTGCTGTCTTGACCTTTGAGGAGAATATTTCTGGGGTATTGCAACTTTTGCATTGGGTTTTAAAAGAAGTATAGTAAGCCTACTCAAGTGTGAAACTTAAGGAATTTTTGAGGACAAGTTTCAAATAGTGAATGGGGAGGATTCGCATTCAGGTTGCACCAGTCTTAGCTCTTCAACTGTCTGCATTTGTACAAAAGTACTACAACTAGTTATCCCAACGAACGAAGTTCGGTAGGGATATAGTGAAGCCCTCTGTCCGTCCGTCAGTCTGTCCGTCCGTCTGTCCGTCCGGAAGATAACTCAAATACTAGTAGACGGATTTTCTTCATATTTAGCGGAAAGATGTGTAAGATGTTTTTTTCAAGATGGCCGCCGCTTTAAAAATGACGGGACTTTTTTGCAAAAATCATGAATTTTTCATTCTAAACCAAAGTAATTAATATTATTGTTTGAAATTTTGGTTGTATATTCACAACATTTATCTATTTCACATATATTCCGTGTTTTTCATCCTGACCCCCAGGGGCCCTGTATCAGGTCAGGAAAACAGAGATTTTCGCTAATTTTTAGATCTTTCTGAAGTATAGCTTTTTTATACTCAAATGAAAGGAAATTAAGAGTAGATTGCAAATATTGTATCATTTTTCTGATTTGAGCCTCGTAAAATTCAAAATGGCCGTCTAATGTATGATTTCGCAATAATAATTTTTGATCCCTTCAAAGTATGGCTATATTATACTCAAATTGAAGGAATTTTGGAGTAGATCACAATTATGCTATTATTTTTCAGATTTGTACCTCAGAAAATTCAAAATGGCTGCTTTGCAGGAATTCGCAATTCTAAAATCTAAATTTTTCAATTTTAACCAAAGTAATGAGTATAATTGATTGGAATTCAGTAATTGATATTTTGTTCGTTGGGATTTGCTACTCCGCGGAGTTGCTGTTATCTAGTTTGATTCTGCCTTTGAACGAGAACTTTATATACGCTCTTTGAGTTACTCAATCAGCCGTTTAAAACTTGACTTACCCTCAATTCTTTTAAGCAGAATGTGATATCACTATCCACCCCTACTTGGTAATTGTCAAATTCTGAGGCATCCAGGGTCAACTCTGTATGCATCACTTTAGTAGGGTCTGAAATAAATATAAATATGTCTTAAAGAGCTATCAGAAACGAGTAAAAACTTAAAGAATTTTTGATTGTCGATTCAATTTCATCATGTCCTTTCATACTTACATAAGTATAAATATATATTAATTTCATGAGTGATAATAAAAACAACAACTCATGGCTGACCTATGGATTTAATATGGATTGAACTCAAGGAAGAGTTTCATTCGACTGTACAATTAGTTTTATTTTAAAATTAAGGAAACTGGATGATAAATGATTAAAACCTACCGATGACATATCAAATTGTGCAACATATGATAATAAAAAATAAAGAAAAAAATTGGCAATTTTTATGCCAAGCCTCCAATGAGGATTGAACTCATGACCCCTGGTTTACAAGACCAGTGCTCTGCCACTGAGCTATAGAGGCTTTGATGGTATGCACACATTTAAATTAGAATATATTGGAAATATGATGGTAAACTTAAATAATCAATGAAAATCTTTTCTTCGCAAGATTTTAAAAAATCAATATTCTTTTCATGTTTTGTTATGTCTTGAAAACATATTTCAAAAAGAATTCTGAAGGTGTTTTGAATTAAAATGTGTTTCTTTTATTAAATAGTTCTTTCATTTTTTAGTTATTCAATTTTTAGTTATCCAATTCTTGACCTTCCCATAATATTTCCCATTATGTTTAGCTTTTCACTTGAACTATAAAAAATACAAATTCTTCACTAACATGATATTCATTAATCCCCTCCGCCTAATGGTATTAACTTTGTAACTGTTAAGATCCATAAATCCAATGCAGTAAAAAACCTCTCAATATTCAGTAACTTCATAAAATCATCTCACAATTATGGCTCCAACGTTGATAGTTCCTCAATTCTTTGAATGCACCAGTGTGTATTCACAATGCGTTTTAACCCATTCACACCTGCCTGCAGCACATTTTAACCCATTGGTACCTACCTGAAGCACATTTTAACCCATTGGTACCTACCTGCAGCACATTTTAACCCATTGGTACCTACCTGCAGCACATTTTAACCCAATGGCACCTACCTGCAGCACATTTTAACCCATTGGTACCTACCTGCAGCACATTTTAACCCAATGGCACCTACCTGCAGCACATTTTAACCCATTGGTACCTACCTGCAGCACATTTTAACCCAATGGCACCTACCTGCAGCACATTTTAACCCATTGGTACCTACCTGCAGCACATTTTAACCCAATGGCACCTACCTGCAGCACATTTTAACCCAATGGCACCTACCTGCAGCAAATTTTAACCCAATGGCACCTACCTGCAGCACATTTTAACCCAATGACAACAACCTGCAGCACATTTTAACCCAATGACAACAACCTGCAGCACATTTTAACCCAATGACAACAACCTGCAGCACATTTTAACCCAATGACAACAACCTGCAGCACATTTTAACCCAATGACAACAACCTGCAGCACATTTTAACCCAATGACAACAACCTGCAGCACATTTTAACCCAATGACAACAACCTGCAGCACATTTTAACCCAATGGCACCTACCTGCAGCACATTTTAACCCATTGGTACCTACCTGCAGCACATTTTAACCCAATGGCACCTGCCTGCAGCACATTTTAACCCAATGGCACCTACCTGCAGCACATTTTAACCCAATGACAACAACCTGCAGCACATTTTAACCCAATGACAACAACCTGCAGCACATTTTAAACCTATGACAACAACCTGCAGCACATTTTAACCCAATGACAACAACCTGCAGCACATTTTAAACCAATGACAACAACCTGCAGCACATTTTAACCCAATGACAACAATCTGCAGCACATTTTAACCCCTTCACACCTACCTGGTTCATCATCTGTGTAGTTTTTCAAGGTAAGTTTGTCGGGGCGCACAGTTAGCGTGACTTCTTCCTGATTATTTTGAAAATTCAACACAGCATCTTGCAATAGCCTGGAATATATTCAATTCAATTCATTCAACATTTGTCAAATGGTTCGGTATTATGGATATTTAGAGTACATATACTTCTAAATGTTTATACTATATTTTTCATTGATCAAAGCATCATTAAACAGGAATATAAGTGAAATATGGTGCTATCATAGACATGAACCTCCATAAGAGAAATAGCCGTGATACAAAAAGGTGAGGCAAATTTAAATAGGTGAGGCAAATTTAAATAGGTGAGGCAAATTTAAATAGGTGAGGCAAATTTAAATAGGTGAGGCAAAAATCAAAGACTAGGATATTACATCTCCGTCGGACCTAGTTTTTAGTTTAATTGGAAACATTATCTAAAGTATAACCGCCCAATTGAATTTTGATAGATAAGAATTTTTTTACAAAATATTGTGAACAAAAAATTGTTAATTCAGTTGTCTTGAAAATTATTATTTTATTATCGTTTTTTAGAAACAGACGTCTTGAGGAGAGCAGTTTACTTACTTTGTTTGTGCAGTAAGAAGATTGGGGCACAGATCCTTAGAGAAAACCGCTTGTAGTGTCTCACACTCGATATAAGACAGATTGTGTGTCTTAACTATACCTACAAATACAAGGTACACTCAATTATTATGTCGAAATTTCTCAACCCAACTATATTTTATATAACTTTTATTGACATTTTGTATCATAACATGATTACATTAGTCATAACTATGAAAAACTAAATATCTAAAGTACAAATACTAACTAAAGCAGAAGTACAAAAATATATACATTTAAAGTGTGGTGCACATACCCTGCATTCTGACTATAAATTCTTAAATGAATGATAAATGAATTTTCCAATGTGTCTTTGTAATGTTAAGTTTTTACTTGAAATGAGATTGACAAATAAATTTTCACTATTGAGGTCAAAGTTACTTAGATGTTCAAGAGCCTTAGTGTACAATAATTGTCTATGCTCATCATTCTTTGTACACGTTAAAAAGAAATGACACTCATCCTCTATATGTTTACAGGTATTGCATAATCTTTCCTCTCTAGGTTTTAGTTTTATACATACTCCCTAAGAAAATCCTACAACAAAATAAAGTTCCTTCTTTATCCTGACGATTAAAACTTTAATACCTCCCAGAAAAGTAATGTTCTTTTTTGATAAATCACACAACAGTAATAACCTGAGTCTAAACTTAATGCCACTGGGACCACACAAAAATGTTTGAATTAACAGGTATTCATATTTCAAGGTTTTCTAATATGTAAGTCAATGGGAGACAGAATGTTACACATTGTTGACGCATATACAGCATAGAATATCAAAATATATTTTAACAGAAAGACAGTTGTATATCTTTATATATTACCATGTCTACAATATAACTGGAATACCAGCCTATCTTCCTTGTTGTCCAGGGTAATCTTACATTTATCCACTGTCTTCTCGAGGCTTGACACATTCTTAAAGACAGTAAGGCATGACTGGAAATAGAAAGACAACACATGACTGGAAAAAGAAAGACAACATTGTTTAAAAACCAGAAAATTAAGCAAAATTGTTTTTCTTAATTTTTGAAATGTTTGCATGATCATCATAGATTTTAAATTTTTCATTAGTGAACCCATCACAATGCAAAAAATAGTAAGAGTGACTTACATGATTTACAAAATTCAAAATGGTAAATTTATCTTGATGCAAGCCTGACAGAAAATGTGATCAAGTTTTATGTAATATGACATTCATACCTTCATAGTAACTTTACATTTGAGGGACTCTTCTGTGGCTTCAGCGTTGCTAGGCGACCCATCATCATAGTGTTGAAAAAAGCCTGGTGCAAAAATAAAACAGGCATATGCTGAGTAACTGGAGTTGACGGTACGAAGGCCTAGCTGGAAATATAGACAATAACCATATTCACTTGCAGGCGAGAGTTCATTTGACACTATTATTAAGGTCACCATAGCAACAACCAAAAAACACGGGCTATGTGCTAAAGCAAAGTATTTTTCAAAATTTATGAATCAACTGATAAGATTTTAATTAAAAGGGAAGGGGACTTTACTTTTTTAATTTAGTTTCCAAAGAAAACGTATACTTACCCTATGCTGCATTTGGTTCTATGTGAAGCTCATCCCCAATCTTTTCAAGAGAGTGAACTGAACAAGTGTACTTACCCTATGCTGCATTTGGTTCTATGTAGAGCTCATCCCGAATCTTTGCTAGAGAGTGAATAGAACAAGCGTACTTACCCCATGCTGCATTGGCTCTATGTAGAGCTCATCTCCAATCTTTGCAAGGGAGTGAATCGAACGACCAAATGCTGAAAAGGATTAGAATCAAAATTATAAATGTAAAAGAATAGAACAGATTGGGGTTTTATATTGTGTTTTTATATACAATTAGCAGATATGTGCCATAGAGCCATGGATAATGGTAAATTCTCCATTTCAGATTCAGATACTTCAGGTTGGGCATCTTGAATCAGAAAAAAACTGGCTTCCCGGATTCCGCTCTCATTAAGATGAGATGAGGTGAGAAAAATTATCATTGTATCATGTTTGAAGCATGCAAGGAGAATCGTGTAGTGGTAACAAGGCAATATTGAAGGAAGTTATACATTTTTGTAAACTCAAAACAAATCTTACACATTTTCTAATGGTCTAATTATGTTATATATTCGTATTTTTCTTTTTTTGGGGTTCCCGGTTTTTTCGACCGGGTACCAAATTTGAACCCAGCATGGAAGATTTACTACCCGGTTTTTTCTACAAACCCAATTTACTCTATTCTTACTCGGGTCACTTGATTTGTCACAACCTCCACGATCCATCCCCTCCCCCACTCTCTGTGTAGAACACTTTTGGTAACAAGAGATTATTGGGGGATTTTAGGGAAGTCTCTTTTCTCTGTTCCAGTAAAGCATGTTGTTAATTAGGCTAGCCTAGCCCTATCCATTGCGTTCATCTCAGTAAGCTTAGTCAGTTTTGATTTTTGGTTTGTTGACTTGAAAAAATTCGGATTTCTGAGGAAATTACAAATACGTTTCCTACCTTTTATATTGCTCCCGGGTATTGTGCACTTCATTCTTGATCATTCTAGGACATAATGTCATGAACAGATGTCACTGAATTGTTCAAGTTATCAAGATATATGGTGATATCTGGTAAAATTAAAAAATATTGAAATTTCCCTCCGAATCTATTAGGACTTCCGGTCTTGCGCAGTCAACCCGGAAGTCAAAACAGAAAAATGGTAAATCAAAATTTTGTTTAGTTTTTAGCGTTTTACGCTATTTTTGAATCATAAATTTAATGTGATTGATGACCATAAATGTATTATGGATACAGTGCCTCCATAGTGATATTGAATACATGATTTTTAGACTTGGTGCCGTCTGTAATTGAATAGTTCATGGTCCCTCCCACTTTCATTTCAATAAAAAACAATGTGTCACATGACACCAAGTAACTTGAGTGAGATTTATTGAGGAAATCTGATCATTGATTTGTTCTTTTGATATAATTTAATTCATGTATTGTCCAGATTATTAGCCAGCTAAATGACACTCTAGTGCACTGGAACCTGTATCAACACCTGACATCTATTGCCAAACCTGAAATAGAATGAGCTTCTATTCTTTGTCTATATACATGTAGTCTAGTCTGGGTATTATACTTCCAGGTTGGGCCACCAATTGATGTCAGGTGTTAATACAAGTTGCTGTGCCATTATTTTGCATCGATGCATCGCTATTTTTGGTGCAAACATTTGAAAAGTCGATATAAATGTCTACTAAAATACCGAACGCAAATATACTAAAATACTGAATGCAACAAATAAGTATTATTTTCGGTAATGGTGTACAAAAACAAATGTAAAAAATTTGAGGTCATTGGTTCATTTCAACAAGTAATACACTTAAAATAAGAACATTTGAAATGAACTAGGAATGAGAAAGTTAAGACATTTTGTTTCAGATATCGATGCATCACCAGAATCACTTTTGGCGATGTAATCAATTAATCGGGACAAGATGGAGCCATTCCAGAGAATCTTCTACTTCCTAAATTTCTCATAAAATTTTAAATCTTTGACCTATTTTCTGAAGAAGTATGCCACCAGGGCATTAATCAGCGCTTTCAACTCTCAATGCGCAAGCAAATGAATGTCATAAGCCTGCATATTCTGATAATCTGTGTCACCAACTAACTGGGGTTTCGCCCCTTACTCCTTCAATGAAGATACAAATTAGTAGAGTTTCAGTTGGTAATAACTACAGCAAACAGATCTCAGATGCGGCTCAGATGGTATCTAGCATCAGTCTTTAGATCTCAGGGTCCTGGGTTCGATTCCAGCACAGGGTACTGAATTTAGCGTACTTTCTTTCATCTTGGCCCATTTGTGTCTGACTTATGTTAGTTAGTCATTACTCTTTACCTGGGGCACTCTCAGGCCATTGCATTTTTACCAGTCTGAAACGTGATATATAAGTGCTTTCTCCCTTTTAGTTGGTGTTAGTACTAGGAGATCTTCACATTCCACACAGGTCTAACTACCTGCCTAACAAATTCAAGAAGCTATTGGTCCCTGGGAAAATACAACATATCCTGTGTACAGGTGAGTTAAAAAGGCCACATGGCATGATTAAAGCAGGTGTTTATATATTGAAAGTACGTTTGTACTCCCTCGAGAGCATCTTCTTTATATCTGGTACGAATGCCCTGCAATATACATGTACATGTATATTCTGCTTGTATACTTAACAAACAGTTAACCTTTCGGAGTGTATCTGAGATGCATTTACACTGTATCATGCACTGCACTGCATCAGTGATTTCATTAGTAACTCATGGATATGTAAGTTCCTCTGCTACGAAACTGTTCTATAATATAGTTCTCTCAGGTCATTTTCCTAATCATGCTCCTTACCTTTCAGGTAACCTATGTGCGAAAGAGTCCTATGATTATCTGAAGACATTGGCCAGTGATGTACATGTAGTGAGAGGAGATTTTGATGAGGTATGTACTCTGTATTATATGTAGGTGTTTGCATTTGAGGCAGACAGGATTGGCAAGCCATACTTTAGTTATTGGATTGAAACAAGCTATTGGCATTCATGGCTGTAGCAAAGGGGGGGGGGGGGTGCGATGGGTGGGGTCGCACCTCCCCCCACAAAATTTTTTTTTTATAAAATTTTGTTGAAAAACACTGACAAATTATCGTTGGATATGCTTAGAATGCATCACACAATACAATGCAGTGATGCAAACCTAAAAAACTGCACCCCTCAGAGCATTTCCAATTTGCATGTCGCAAAATTTGCAGAATAATAGTTAAAAGTATGTCTTTCTGACAATCTTGTTCATCGATACTAGGCCTACAATGCAGACTTCAAACATTTTTGATAATTTATTTCCAGAATTTGAGTTATCCCGAGCAAAAGGTTGTCACAGTGGGACAGTTCAGGATTGGTTTGTGCCATGGCCACCAGGTGGTGCCATGGGGTGACACCGATAGTTTATCTGTTCTCCAACGTCAATTAGATGTAGATATTTTAATTTCTGGTAAGTAAAAACAAAACTAGTTCATGAGGTATCTGCATTTTCATAAAAAAATTGGAAAAATTGAAAATTTTAATCGAAATATTTTGATTTGGAGTATGTATTCTACATGTATAAATTAATCAACATAAAAATTTGAAAAATATTAACCATTTTTAATTATTAATTTTTCGTAATGAGAGTCATGGGTCATTAAAACCTTAATAATGAGGGCCGAATAGACATTTTGATTGTCCCATTTTTCATTTTTATTAAGCGCTGTCATTGTTACTTAAGGGAAGTTGGAAATTGACAATGTGAATGCTAAAAATCTCTCACGCTTACATGAAAAAAACAACCTTAGAAGTCATGTCAACTTTTTGAAAATGTTGTCCCCAAAAATGAAGGCATTTTCTCGAAATAATAGATAACTTTTTTTAAAACTATTTTGACTTTAAAACTTTGAATTTCTTTTATAGGTCACACTCATAAGTTTGAAGCTTATGAACATGAGAACAAGTTCTATATCAACCCAGGGTCTGCTACAGGAGCATATAATGCCTTAGACAGGTAAGTTCTATATCAACCCAGTGTCTGCTACAGGAGCATATAATGCCTTAGACAGGTAAGTTCTATATCAACCCAGTGTCTGCTACAGGGGCATATAATGCCTTAGACAGGTAAGTATTCTTCAGGATTTCTCTGTAGTTTTTGATGAAAAAAATATAATGAATGTCATTCATCAAGTCATAAGAAGTACAGTATTTTGATCTAGGAAATGTAACAATAGAAAAGCAAATTCAAGTGTTTTGGGCTTTTTGGAGGGGTGGTGGGGTGTAGTCCTTGCCAGGGATAAAGCAGAATGGTTGCTCTATGGAAAACTTGGAGGTATCTTGATTTCTATTTGTTTCATTATTACACAATTTGATCTTGATTTTATATTGTACTTGCAGTGGTGTGGTTCCAGCTTTTGTGTTACTTGACATCCAACAGTCAACTGTGGTCTGCTACGTCTATCAACTTATTAATGATGATGTCAAAGTGGAGAGAATAGAGTACAAGAAACCGTAGAGTGGCAGTCATTGAAAAACTGATTAAATTATTGTCGTCTGCTGTTGATGATGCATTATGGGAAATCAAAGATAATTGAGTACTAGAAGAGGAAAAATAGTAAAGAAACCTTATGATAGAGTGGCAACCATTTAAACATTGTTAATGTATTGCCGTCTGCTACCATTTGATGCATTATGGGAACTCAAATATAAATTGTGTCAGCTCCATTAGAAATAACTGATTTTAATGATGCCCCTGGGCAGAAATCTATAAGGAGAATTGATGAAGAAGTTGATTTTAACAATAAGTTCATTGACGATGTACCATAGTATTTTATGCATTGTTTGTGAAATATGATGTTGAAATAATTGTGGTATTTGGAATTCCTTGTGCAATAGTTATGTGAATGAAGAAGACTGAGAAAAGGGATTATTCTAAAAAGTTAAAATCTGCACCAGTTATTGAATTGTGCTCTTGGAAAATTTCCCTGGAGGCCGTTTCTCGAAACTTATCGTTATTAACAAATCGTTAATAGCGAATCTTTCGAGAAACGACCTCCTGGTTAACTCGCAAGTCGGTCTATGTGTAAAGTTTTATAAATCATTCCTTGTCGTGAGTTTCATTTTGCAAGTCTTTATATCATGAAAAATTGCTGTTTTCCATTTCACAAAATGTTTATACAGTAAAAAACGTTTAAGTGGAACACCTTTGGTACCTCTAAAAAGTGTTCCACTTGGGAGGTGTTCCACTTCGTTCATTTAACATTAAGTCAATTAGTCTTGGGACTCTGAAGTGTTCCACTAACAGAGGTGTTCCACTTTACAGGTTTCACTTTGTAATTGTATTAAATATAGAATTTATCTAATAAGAATAACTGTCTGATGATAACTGATCAAAAAATATGGCATATTTTACTCCATTTTGTCATTTTTTCTGTACAGTATATTATAATGGCCAAATGTTGTGAATGTATTGATACTCAGTTTGTAAATATATAGATATAAATGAAGAATATACATACACATATGTACATGTATAAGAATATTATATGCATCTGTTATGTTCAATAGTTTGTGGGTTAATTATGTCACCACCAATAGTGGCGACATATTGTTATAGTCTCCAACTTTTTGTGGACCGTATTTAGCAGTTGGTGTCTGTAACAAATGACAGGTGGTGACATTTTGCATGTTAATGCCTTGTTAAAAGCCCTGTTGTGTACCTGCCCTTGACGTATGACCTAAGTTGCCATTGGCCTTTCATGAGAGTAAAATACGGGTGGCCTAAAATTACCCTCATTCCGGCGCTCAACGATGACGTCAGAAGTAATGACCATATATAGAACGTCGGTCGAATTTGGCCGACGAACACTGATTGGCGCAGTGAGTTCACAGGTTTATTTTAGTTTAAAGAGTGAAGACGAAGCTCTCTTTTTAGAAGTGAAGTCAAACGAATGCAAAGGGTACCTAAAATATATAATCCTCTATCTAGATTTTGAAATGTTCTAGGGTACCATTGTCTATGTTACTGTGGCATTCATGGTGAAACTATAATTGAACCAACCACTCCACCTCAAAAAATAGATTTTAGGAGATATTTTCAATTCGAGAATTCATGGATGAATATTTTTTTTATATTTATTGGCCAAAAGACTCATACTTTGGGACATTTCATAAGAGTGTATGGACATATCTACTATATTTATTGCCATTAAGGCTATGGGCATCAAATTCAATTGTCACTCTATATGTATATGTAGGGGTACCTCAATGATCTTTATGGCATATTGTGAGGTAAAAGTGAAAGATTTTGGCGATTTAAAGAATGGAAGAAGAGTAGTTCCTATCTATCAACCTTTCTTTCATCTGAGTTTCAACAAAAAATTTACGAATAGTACGTAACTATAAGCATAGGCAGGCATGAGGCATTTGCCTGACCAAAATTCTACAGAAAAAATATTGGTGTAGAAATTTTTTTAAATAGAAACCACGTAAAAGTGAAGTTGAATAGATTACTATTATATTGCCTCAACATAATATTTGCCTCACCTGTAGGTGAGATACAAATTTGCCTCACCTAATATAAGATCCTAGCCACCCCCCCTTCCCTGGTAAATAACTACCTTTTCCACTTGTTCGATCTATAGATTCTTCATGGACCCTCAGGATAAAAATGAAGAAATGAAAATGTTTTCCTTCTGAGATTATTTTATTTTCATCCATAGCTGATACACTTTAAACTATACAATAACAAAGTATTTACAAATATATTTTACATATCTCAGGTCTACATCTGAAAATCAACAACGGTGCATGTTTTACAAGGGACGGCATCTAATTACCAACAGCTATTCATTTAGGGGCTATTGCGATTAAAATTCAAATGAACCACAAATCATCATGTTCAATTTTTTGTTTTATTAGGAGCATGGACGTTTTTCCAAATTTTGTTGTTTACAACTGTTGACAACTGAATACCACATCCCAAACCCTACTTAAACTGAGTGTTTACCAAATTCATTAACACACAAAATGTCACCACCTGCCATTTGTTACATACACCGAAACATCAAACCCCATCCACAAAAAGTTGGAGACCATATGCATAGCAATATGTCACCACTTGTGATGTTGGTGATGATATAAAAAATGGCATGTATACAGGATACAAACATTTAACAATTCTGAACTAAGCAGAAGTAGCTATACTCATTCCAGGGGCCATGAAATCAGAAGTTAAAGATGCATTAAAATAACATTTTTATTAAGTTAAATCAATCTTCCATCGTTGTTCATGTGTAACTTAATGACCCAGTACACTGTGATTCTTTTTAAACAATTTATGTATAACTCTATAACATAGCCAGGTACAACTCCCAGTTGAAAATCTGAAAACCATATGCCCTTGTTAGAAATCTCTGCACCCTGCCAAAATATATATTTTGAAACAGAAAGTTTAGCACCCAAGTGAGAAAATATCCTGGGGAGTTCACTGCATATAGTACACTCCCTCCAAAAGTTTGGAAACTTCAAATCCTCTATTTGAGCATATGTTCAAGCCTGTTTATGTTTGGTGACTTGGATTGAATAGAAAAAAATCAAATTGCAAACATAGTCAAGTTTTAGAAGCAGTCCAACTGGGAATCAACTTTTTAGATTAAAGGCATCATTACAAAATTGTGGTATGGTCTACCGGATTGACCTATTGTTTATGTTGACTGAGAACATAGACATTCATGATAATAAACCACATTTATGATAATTAATCACATTTATGATGATAAACCAAATTAATTTTATACTAATAAACCACATTCATGATAATAAACCACATTCATGATAATAAACCACATTCATGATAATTAACCAAATTCATAATAATTAACCACATTCATGATAATAAACCACATTCATGATAATTAACCACATTCGTGATAATAAACCACATTCATGATAATTAACCACATTCATGATAACAAACCACATTCATGATAATAAACCACATTCATGATAATTAACCACATTCATAATAATTAACCTCATTCATGATACTTAACTAGATTCGTGATAATTAACCACATTCATGATAATAAACCATGTGCCAATCAAAACAACGAAGCTGTACATATCCATGTACAACTCAAACTCCCTACCAACAGATACACTTTAATTAATAATTTTCTATTATACAGAATATAACTATATTATATTACTATTCTGGTATTATAACACATTTCATATACTAGGGTCGTTCAATAAATACCAATACAAACGCTTGATTCCTTCATAAACATGAAAATGAGAGCTTATGTTTCAGTATTTATTGAATGACCCATATTCTCCACATAATCTAACGAGTTAACATTTTTATAAATATCCAAGCATTTGGAAACAAGGTCAATACATTGAAATGAAATAAATATAGTAAAATTTTTAAGAAAGATTTGAGGAATAGGATAAATTTTCCTGACATTTGTTCATATTCATATCAAATATTAGTGGATTTTCAAAAATTCATAAAATGTTTATTTATAATACCCTTTTAGAGAGAGGGCGAGAGTTAAACTAAACTGTGGTTAATTAAACTTTGGGACATTTTCAAAATATTGACCTGGATCCACATAATATAAGACATTCGGTTCAAATCATAAATAAACTCTTTTTATCAAGTTGTCAAAAGAGTCATACTTCTGCGATGTCATTCCTAGTTTTCCTGTTGCATTTTTAATGGGCCCATGAGATTATTCAAATAAAACTATGATGTGTTCAATACGACAGGTCGAGGAATATCTATTTAAAGAAAGTGTGAGATTGGAGAGTCATATTGGTATTTATGATCCTGTGAACTTTAATAACAGGAGTATGACCATTTCAACATTTCAACCTGTTTCATCAAACAATTCATCATTCATTGAAGCTTAGGTCGCTTCGACCTAGTCCCATATGGTGAACTTGATGGAGCTGACACAGATGGAGCCTTAGAAGAACCATTTGGAGCTGACACTGATGGAGCCTTAGAAGAACCATTTGGAGCTGACACTGATGGAGCCTTAGAAGAACCATTTGGAGCTGACACTGATGGAGCCTTAGAAGAACCATTTGGAGCTGACACTGATGGAGCCTTAGAAGAACCATTTGGAGCTGACACTGATGGAGCCTTAGAAGAACCATTTGGAGCTGACACTGATGGAGCCTTAGAAGAGCCATTTGGAGCTGAATGCTCGGTTGCAATATCAGTGTTATTGTCAGTTGGTTTATGACGTGGACTTGACCGAGACGTCACATTTCTGGTTGTTTTTGTTGGTGTTGCAACTTTAGGAGTTGGGGTTTTAGGAGCCGTAACTTTAGTTGGTGAGACTTTTGTTGCAGATTGTTCTGAAGTTTTCCTTAGGCTCCTGGTTCTTGGTAATTCCACGGAAGGAGTTTTGGACTCCTGTGATGGATTTGTCTGGACAGCCAACTTGGGAGATAGGTCTCCTTTGAGAGATAAGTCTTTCTTAGGTGTACTCCCCTTAGGGAGTTGTACATTGTTTGTTTTTGATTTTACCTCATTGGGCAGTATCATAGTTTGCTCTTCTGTAGTAGCACTGGGTACAAATACGCCATCTGTAGCTTTTTTATTACTAGCAGCAAATACGCCATCTATGACTGTCCCAACTACTTGTTTCTTCCCAGCTATTGTGGTATAGAGTGTGGTATTCTTGGAATTTTCGATGGCTGGTAGATTAGCAGTCTTTAAATTCAGCGATATTGTTTTCTGAACAACAGGGGATTTGGGTTTCGGAGATTGGGGAATCTGGGTTTTGAGAGTCAAGATTTTAGGGCTCTGGGGTATTTTAGTAACTGTAGGGGATTTGGAGACAGGGGATATTACAAGTGTTGGAGCTTGTCCTGCTTTAGGGGATCTAGGATTTAAGGATTTATTGGTTGGAGCTGCCGTGATCAAGGATTGGTC